ATATATATATGCATAAATGATGTGAAGAATCATGTTGGAAAAAGGTAAGAAAGTTCCAATCAGAACCAGCCAAAGCCATTTCCCGAAGGTGGCAGTGCACGTATGAAATGATTTATAAAGCAGATAAAAAAGAAACCTACTCTTTTCAAATAGTGGACCGACTACAGTCTAAAGCACCCTCTTATTGGTTATTTTTTTTTTTGGTTTCTCGCCCGGTATCCGGGTTTCGTCCCGATTAATCTGGATTTGACTCGCGTCGCGCACTTGAAAATTGTGGATGTGTCTTCCAACGGGAACTGCTGCGTACACAAAGTTTCGAACTCGAAACCTTACTTAAGCTGGAACAAGCCGCTTACCACTTAATCCAACTCCTCGTTAGTCCTTCTTATTGGTATTTACGTAATGCATATTAATTTATGCTATTAATGGCTTTTAAATTTTTGAAAAAAGGATTGCAGATCGCATCTGACTTTTCGACACAACTGACATCCTGTTAGTTTGAGGTACATTTTCTTTTTTTATGAGTGGATTTTCGAGCCCCTTGACAACTTGTTAGAAAAAAAAAAAAAGGATTGCAGGGTCAGATTCACATGCACGTGTAGTCAAAGAAAGAGGGAATAGTAATCGTATATGGTGCAGCAGCTGATCGTTTGGCCTTCCCCAGTTTGGTCACCTGCCTTGTTTAGGGCTGTTAGTTTGATGTACCTTTCGTGACTAAATGCACCCAACGTTTTTGATTTTCGGGCAATGCCCTGATAGTCTGATGTCCCTTTCAATTTCGTGAGAAATCATGGAACATGCGACGGAAAAGGGGGGGAAAGAGATTTACGTTTGTTCAGATGAAGTGAAATTAAGATAGAAAAAGGTTTGGTAATGGGAATAGGAATCCTATGATATCATGCGGCCAGCGGCCTTCTATTTTAGAGTTAATAACTTTTTAATTAAGTTTTAAGTAAAATTTAAAAAGATTATATATTTAATTTTTTTTAATTTTGTTTAAAATTTATTTTTAAAAATAATTTTTTTAAATTTTTAATAAAATTTTAAATTTATAAAAGATAAAAAATATTTTTAAAGCAAAATACTTTTACAACTTTACTAGATGCTTTTTAATTTTGAGAAGGAAAACCTTATTAATGATTACGAGGGATGTTTGATGACAACTTAAAAATGCTTATTTTAAAAATAAATTACTCTTTTCCAAACTTAAAATTTTGTCAAAGAAAAATTTAAAAATTAATTTTTTTAACTTCATTACACAATAAGAGATGATTGCTTTACATATCTTATTTTAACACATTTATATATTATATGGTTCAAATTTAAGATCTTTTAACAAAAAAATATTATCTTTGAACTATTTAACTCATTAATAACTTTTAAAAGTACTTTTAAGAAGTTTTTAAGCAAGTTTGAAAAAACAATTTAAATATATAACTTTTTCAAATTTTACTTAAAAGCCATTTTAAAATTTAAAATTTAAATTTCTCTGAAAAAAATCTCATATTTATGAAGAAAAAAAGCTTTAATTTTTAAAGAAATACTTTTTTAAAATTTACCTACCACCCCCAACACTCTCTATTGATGGTTAGTATTCATGCCAATAGAGTAAAGTTGTCTTTCTCTTTTTGGCTCATACAGTCATACTACTTAGTAAACTAATTAGAAATCAGATTCTATTCCATGTTCGAGATTGACCATTGAAAAGGTATTTATTATCATGCACATGGGGCCTTCGGTGGGTCAAGTGGCAGGCCACGTATAATTGCATTTCTCTACCCTTAAAGCAATGGTTCGAATCCGATCCTCTATGAATTTATTCAAAAAAAAAGTATTTATTATCATTATATAAACTTTGGTAACTTGTGAAGAAAACGCGTTAGCATGAAAAAATATAAAATAACTAAAATAACTTTATTCATATTTTAAAAATGAAGATATATCTATAAAAAAAATTTAAGATATATATATATATTTAAATTATACAGTGAGAAATAATTATTTTTTATTTCTTAATCAACTTCTCTAAATTCATGATCTCTTACTTTCATATATAAAAAATTATCATTAAATTACTTATGTCGTTAACTTAAAATATATATAAAGTCTAAAACAATTTCATTCATGCTTTAAAAAATAAGATACTTTAGTTTTTCTAATAGGATTTTATTAAAATAACGTAATAATATATATAATATGGTGAAATTTTGGAATTACGGTTTTTAAATGTAAATTAAAAATTTAGGTAAACATTTAATAATGTAAAATTTTAAATTAATTTTAATTAAATAAGATGATGTCATTTTTTTTTAAAGTTAGAACAAATATACACTTTTTCCTATATATATTTCATACAAATAAAAATACTATTTTTTAAAATAATTGACGATATAATTTTTTTTATTAATTAAAGCTATTACTTTCAAAAAAATTTAATTAGGAATATAACCTTTACAATTTTACTAATTAAACTATCACCTTTTAAAACCTTCTAGTGAAGGATATGACCATCTATATCTACTTAATCCTTTTTTAAATAAAATCACAAATGTTATGTTCTTAATTAAAAACTTTTGAAAAGTAATAATTTTTAATTAGTAAAGAAAAATTATTACTCATTAATTAATGGAGTTTTCCCACCCGTGTGTATTTATTACTTATTTTTATTATTAATTTATATAAAAAATTATCACAATAAATTTCATTTTTAACATCAATTTTACAAAAAAAAAAATTTAATAACATTAAAATTATTTTTTATTTTTTATATGAATTCTTAATTAATAAAAAAATATAACAACCACATCTTTATCTCGTGCCTTACAAGCTTAGGCAACATATTAAAAAATTTGTTAATTTAAAAATTTATAAAATAGTGTCATACAAAATCTCTTAAAACACACACACAGTTATTATCTTAAAACGCGCCCTTTGAACGATTCTCTAGCTAAATTTCATGCATAAGCACCTTATTCTGTGTCCCTCTCTTTTCTAACAACGAATCCTCCCCTTGATAAAATTTTCAGCTACTCATTTCTCTGTCTGTGGTAAAATGGCTTCCGAACTGATTCACAGAAACCCATCAACCCCGACACAATCCCCGCCCGATTCACCGAAACCCACTTCCTCACTTGGAAGGTCTGCCACCTCACTTAACTACATCGTCCGTGGGCGGCGACTTGTTTTCATCGTCGTTGGAATTGCCATCTCCGCACTCTTTTTTAGCACTTTTCTTGTATCTCCGTCACAACCGAGTCAGGACCCTGTTTTGGGATCTGAATCTGCTCCAGTGAACCGTCGGAGAATTCTCTACCAATCGAATTCCCAATTTGTTCGCCGAGAAAATGCGGTTGGGAGGGTGCCGCTGGGGTTGAAGAGGAAAAGTTTGAGGATTGTGGTGACCGGCGGGGCTGGGTTCGTGGGGAGCCATCTGGTGGACAGGCTGATAGGAGGAGGGGACAGCGTGATCGTCGTAGATAACTTCTTTACGGGGAGAAAAGAGAACTTGCTGCAACACTTCGGGAATCCGAAGTTTGAGCTGATCCGTCATGATGTTGTGGAGCCGATTCTGTTGGAGGTTGATCAGATCTACCACTTGGCTTGCCCTGCTTCCCCTGTTCATTACAAATTCAATCCTGTCAAGACCATCATATCCTTTTAAATTTCTTACATTTAATTCGTCTCAATGCAACAGCTGATATCTATTACAGTGCTTGAAATACATTTT